TCAAGCCTGATGCTCCCAGATCCGTGCAGCAATGAAATCGCGGTTCAAGACAGCAACAGGAGCTGTGAGCAGGTGTTTGAGGAAGAATATGAGCAGAGCGAGAGTATTTGGCCTTTTCCCGGTATTCTTCCAGCACACAGCTATTTTACTTGTAAACCTGGCCGCAATCATTCAAATTTTCTTCAGTGAAAAAGGAGCAAGGGGCCGACAAAATAATAACTACTGACCTAGGAATTATTTTGAGGGATGGTTTAGACAGCTTTGTAACGCGTTTGTGATTTTGTCATTACAGGAGAAAACTGCGAACTGATGTTGCAGCAGCTTTTCCTAACCTTAGTGCTGAACAATTGACTGAATTTATTCCAAACAAGGAAGAGCTTAATGTCATCAAAATATACTCTCACAAAGGGGAGGCTGTCACTGTTTACATGAATAACAGGAACCCAATACTGTTTGAAATTGAGAAAGCTCTGTATCCAACAGGTACGGGGAGTGGACTGAAATAATCCTCCCTCTTTACTTACTGGGCACCAACTGTTTCCCAAAAGATTTCCTTGTGTCTGTCTTAAGCATCCTATACTTCTAAAATCAGTACAATTAACAATCTTTAGTGCATTTATTCTGCCAACATTCTTGCAAAATTAGTCACGTTTCTTCATTCTTTCTGCAAAAAGGGAAATTGAGGTGCTGAGAGGTTAGAAACCAGGAGACAAATCTTTTAAGTCACAGTTTAGCATCTTGGTCCTTTTTCTTCCCTTTGTCCACTGCAAGGTGTAATTCCAAGAAGCATGGTGTCCACCTCCAGGCAGCCCTGTAATTAGGCAATGAATTGCTCTGGTGTTCTGTGCTTTTACTTTTCCCAAACCCAGCAATTCTTCCTTCTTAGGGTAGCAGTTTAGCTCAAGGTGTTCTTGATTTAAGGAAAATAATGCAATCATTTCTCTATATCCTTTATAATAATTCACAGGAACTTGAATTAACTGGCAGTTTATTTTTCTCCATTGCATCTACTAATTAGTGTGGGATCATTCTGACTTCAGTTTTCTCGATTGCCCAAGTAACAGGAGTGGTTACTGTTGCACTGCTCAGTCTTAAAGATGGGAAGAAAGCAACAGGTAGGGAAATTTTTAATGATGCATCTTTACATTTGCTTCTGTTTTGGGACAGTGTACACTCTGTGGGTCTACCCAGATCTTCTCCCTGCTTTTTCGACCTGGCACCCTGTGCTGCAGAAACTTGCAGGAGGAGCAGGTAAGAGGACTAGAACTTTGTCACATTGAATTACAAGAAGGAGTTGCCTCCAGGGCTTTTTTGATGTTCATCTTTCCCAGTGGCAAAAATGTACCTGAAACAAAAAACTGTAAAGAAAAAGTACTCAAAAGTAATTCGTGGTCGTGTCCTAAAAAGGAAAATAAATTAGCTGTAAAAAAAACCTTTTGTGAACGAAACAAAGTAGGTTAAGCTGTTTAAATGCAGTAACCGGCTCCATGTGGGAGTCTCGGATTTGGAAATACCTTCTCAGGGTGATCAGCAGCTCTGAATTGGGACACAGCACTGCCAGGGTCGCTGGTCTGTCTTTTTTACAGCTTTCCTTGAGCAGCTGAGTTCCTTTGCTGCTTCCTGTCAATCCAGAGGTGAACTAGCTTTTCCTATGGATAAGGAGCGAGTTTATATTGGAACGTACAGTTGTAGTCACTGTCGAGTAATTGTGCAGGTGAGGTTGGATTTGAATTCCTGGGTTACTGGCTCTACCGCCTAATTATAGATCAAGACTAACAAGAAAGGAGTCTGTTTTCTGGAACCTGCTTTGGATGCAGTTCAGACTCATGAGAATCAGGTCTTTATAAACTTACAGAACTGCTCGACCTGAAACGGATTAAATTGCAGCCACTGCGGCTTTGGTCTGTAAATGGAAGGGTATGTGTGGGAAGAGATGTCTTTTTTCCATTACACAGTATCTGAAGTAGAACTCATGTCCCTTTGTTTACATTGTTTGCTTTTGGGGAAATAAAAGTGCTTGAATGCGTAGCTGCGGTAGACATCGGAGCAAGCCTTGCTGCTGACTTGTAGCGACCTAGTTTCTGGGGAAAAAAAACCTGCTAATGGAGGAAGGACATTGATGAAAGAGGGCTGCAGGTCATTCATCTCCCCTGGCAACCAGGCTACCTCTGGGTACGATCCAAAGATAAGAAGCTGGCCAAGGAGACAATGGCCAACAAAGGCAGAGGGAGAGGTAGAGCCACATCTCTGGAAGGAAAGGAAGGGCTTGAGACTGTCCAGTGCTGCAGACCTGGAAGGAGGGGGGGAGCAGATTTAGGGAGCAGTCGGCTACAAAGAGGAGAAGCAAGGTAGTGCTGTTCACGGTATCTGGTCTGTGAATTCAAGTCCCTACTGTCTGCCCTGGTTATTTACATAACATACACGTGATAGGTACCTTGTTAAGGTCTTTATGTGATCGCTGTCCTCAGAGATGTGGAGCCTTTTTTGCAATTTTAGAATTCATTCCAGATTTGCTGAAAGTAGTTGTGACAGTGAATGGGAGGAAAAATGTTGTTGGCTTCTTCAGCATAGACAGTAAATCTGTGATGCTGAGAAAAAAAAAAAAGTGAGCTGCCTTCAAAACCAAACGTGGAACGCAGGTCGGTCTGTGAGACTGCAAGCTTTAGACAATTATAGCTGCCATGAGGGAGAGCACATGCTCTTTACATAATTCGGTGATGACGTGATACCATAAATGGGTCATGCAAAACTGTTCTTTACTCACATGCCAGTCTGTTCATCCCAGGTATGGAAAGCAGAAGGAAGCACACAACATGGCCTGTGTCTGTCCACGTTAGCTGCCTCCTGCCCAGGAGAGTTCACAGCTGAGTGTGGCCAATGTGTCAGACCAGGAGGGTTGGAGCAGTGGTGGTGGATTTTAGGCAATTCTTTCTTCCCAGAGAGAGCTGCTGGGTGCCCAGCACCCTTGTGAATTGGATCCCTTACTCCACAGGGTGGTGAGCAAGACGTGCTGCCTTACTAGGAGAAGCAGAGAATCATGTTTTATCTGCCGTGTGCTCGGCTATTAACAGGCTTATGTTTTTGCTGAGTAACCGGAGGGATGGGGGTGGAGGAGGCAGCGGCGGTCTTTCATTGAGAAGTGGATGTGCTTTATTCTCCTCTTCAGATCTGATGCTGCCAGGAGTTGTAGTGCCATCTTCTGGCTTGCCTCAAGTGGAGCGGGGCACGCTCTGTGCTGTCACCCTCTTGGGAAACAGGTACGGAGGAGGCTTTAATCGTATCTTTTTCTTAGCTTCGTTTCATTTTTAGTTTCTTTTTTTTTGCAGGAAGACTCTGGGGGTTTTGAGGAAATGAAAGTGGGAAACAGGTACGGAGGAGGCTTTAATCGTATCTTTTTCTTAGCTTCGTTTCATTTTTAGTTTCTTTTTTTTGCAGGAAGACTGAGGATTTTGAGAAAATGAAAGCAGAATTGTTGCCGTGCACTGTGGACCTAAACAATGGAAAATACAGCAGAAAAAAAAATCCATTTAAATTTCTGGGTTAGGATGTGTTTGAGCTCAGGTGGACAACAGATACGAGAAAGACAATACCTAGGTGCTTTAAAAAGCCCCAGGTTGTAAAGAATAAGGACATGATAAAACAAATCAGTAGATCACAGTGGCGCAGTCTGTCTTTGAGTAGCACAGTGTATCTGTGCTGTTCTCGAACTCTCCCCTCTCTCCCCAGAGCTCCGGTAGCTGTTGCAGTTGCCGTGATGTCCACTGCAGAGATGCTGGCTGCCGGAATGAAAGGGAGGGGCTTTGCTGTGTTGCACACTTACATGGATCACCTCTGGTGAGTGTACTGCCAGGCACTTGGTAAAACGTGTCACGAGGCTCGTGTGAACTCAGATCAAACTCTGTGCCCCAGTAAGCTTTATCTGTCCGTTCCATGTGACGAGTTATTTGGGTTCAGTTTGGATACAACCATTATTAAGGTTTCAGCTCCATGACTTGGATGACCACACTTTTCTGACAGCTTGTCCTTTATATACATAAAATTATTCACTTGGCTCAGCTTCTTCAAACTGAGTGTAATTATTATAGAAATGAAGCTAGAACATCTCTGTTACTCTGATTTTAGAACATCTTGTTCTATAAGTGAACATTGAATCATTTTTCCTTAAAAATTGTTGTCTGTGCCAGTCCCAAAGAAATGAGTTGCTCTGCATTTCGATTCAACTAGTCTGCTCAGTTTTAAATTAAGATCCGTGGTAGGGAACATCGAGTTTATGGAAGAAGTTGAGTTAAAAATAAATTTTATAGTTTTGAGAATGTGGAAAAAGACCCCTGCAGCTGCCAGTGCCTTTTCTCAGGTGACATCTACTCATTGTCCCATGGGTTTCAAAGCAGTAAACAGAAAGCTATGTTATGCTTTTTCTTCCTTTTATAGGGAATATGGTGACAAAACTTATCCTCCTACCTTAGCTCCCTTGGTAACAGATTCTGCTGAAAAGGAGAGTGCTGAAGATGAAGAAGAGGTGGAGGGGAAGGAGTCTGTCGTCGGCGTATCCGCTGACCCACTGCAGCACGTGGATGTCGGTGATTTGAGCCTGCAGGAGCGAGACGGTTGTGCAATACCCATGGGAAAGGAGGAACTCGATGAGAACAGAGCTGCAGAAACAGCTGAAGATGCCAACACGGAGGTTCCGCAGGAAGTTGAAGACAGTAGGACTCCTCAAGGTATTTTAGCATAAAAATGAAACTGAACTATGCCCCTTTGGTTTGATGAAGCCCGTACCCACCAGCCAGATCACTGCACGTTCTGGGCAGCTCCCTGCGAGAAGGCGGTGGAGATGGTTCTGTGTGGTCTGAGAGAGCTGAGGGCTGTGTTCTGTAAGAGACTGCTCGTGGCTTACTTGTCCTTTCTTCCCTGCAGAGCAAATGGATGCATTATTTAATCAGTGCTTTTTTCATGCCTTAAAATGCAAAGTAAAGAAGTCGGATCTCCCTCTGCTCACCAGCACGTTTCTACGCAGCCATATGTTCTCATGCTGGTATGTGGTAAGAAGGTTGTCTTCAGCTTTGCACACTGGGTTTTTGTCTTTAAAACTGCAGATTAAAACTGAGAGCGATGAAGTTTTTGACTCAAATGTAAAAGTCAGTCCTTACCTATGGTTATCTAGGATTATGATCAATTCTTACATCAAGTTATTTTGATGTAAGGATTGTCCAGATCAGGATGTGCACTGGGTAGCTAACTTGAGTTGGCTGACATTTGTGTCAAGACTGCTTAGTCACTTTAACGGTTCTTTGCCTACCCACAGGAACATCGGCGCTAGTTTCAGTCATTGGGTTCTATTTATTAGCTTGCTTGAAGTAATTCTTTGTGTGTGATTTGTATTTCTGCTGTTAAGAAACTTCTAGCATAAGTAGCAAGATTTAAGAAGAAATCAAGGGTGACTTACAACTAAAGAACTTTTAAAAAAAATCTATTTATAGCCCTGCTGGACAACAACTGGACATAAAGAAATCAAGCTATAAGAAGGTGAGATTTTTCTCTCTTTTTCTTGCATTAATTCAAATAAGAAATGGAAGGAGAGAAAAAGTTTGAAGTCAGAACTGTTAGTAAAACAGACAAACAAAAAACCCCTAGAAGCTGCTCTTAAAAGCCAAGTTCTTTTTGTCAGCTCTCCACTCCTCTGGGATCTAGGGAGAAAAGTAATTTTCTTGAAAGCATGAGCATCGATCTGCTCAGAATGCAGCTGGTGCTATCTGCCTCTGTACGCTGCCATAGCTATTAAATGGTTCTGATCTTGCTGGGCAGTGCAGTTCCTCAGAGCTATTCCTTTTTTAAAGCTGTCGAGGAACAAAACAGAAGAGAAAGGGGATGATGCTCTCCCTGTTGTGTAGATGACAAGCAAAGACAAGGTGCGTTGCTGAAGATCTCGCAGTAGTCCATGTGAGAAGTGCTGTGATTTGGCTCAGAATGTCACAGAGCGAACAGATGGCAGATCTACAGGAGGAACACTTGCTTTTACTCTGTTTTAGAGCAAGACAGAGGCACTCGCTGCTCTGAGCAGTTGCTATCTTTAGAGGAGCAAAAGGTATGGGGGGGTGTGTTCTTTTATAGGAAAAAAACAACAACAAGTTTTTCTGATTTAGCAAGTAACTTTAGGGCAGTCAGAAACACAGGAACAGGAATTTAAAATGCATGACTCCACATTTCTGATTGTTGCTTCTTTCAGTTCTCCAAATTCCTGCAGTGTATGCAGCACCAGAAGATCTTACAAGTGAAGGAGCTGAATAAAGGTGTCGAGAGCATCGTGGAAGTGGACTGGAGACATCCAGAGTATGTAGAATATTGTAGTCTTTCAAAGGATTAGTAGTTACCTCACAGCAAGAACATCCTGCTCATTCCTTCTGTGTATGGGCACATTAGTTCTCACTTGGAATTTCCCAGCGGGCCTTGAGGCTTCCTCTTACATAACGTCTCCTTGGCAACTAATGGAGTGGAGAATATTCCTGTAGATATAAGCATATCTTCTCTTCTGCGTTTGGAAAGAAGCAGAATTACTCCAACTTTTTGCATTAACTTTTCTCTCATTAGATTTGGCCTTATCATTAGGAGACAGGCATCCTCAAACTCACCTTTTCAGTTTTCTTACCTGCAAGCACAGAATCTGCAGCTCTGGTCAAGGAAATGAGATTACAGGTCCTGCACTGATATGATTCTTCCTCCTCTCTTCAAGAGTTGTCTTTTATCAGTGACCACTAAAGAATCATTTCAGCTTTAAAATGTCTGTACCCTTCTGAAGAATGCAGTTAGGGTTTGATTTTTTTAATTTTAATTCTAGCAGTCATATGGAATGGGGCAGCATCCTTTGATTTATGGCAGTTGACTCTAATTATGAAAGTCAAATATGCTTAGAATAGCTGGAGAGATTTACTTTTTCCTCATTTCCTCTTTACTCAGAGTGGAAACTGTTTAGTATTGCCTGAGTTAAAAGTGCTTATTTATTTGTATCTTTGAAATGCGTGCAAGGACTAATTTAGTAATGGCAGCTAATGCTTTAAAAATACTGTTCTTTTCATCATATCCTTTAATCCACAGGCATAGGTCCCCACTGCAACAGACTGCATTTGGAAGAACTAACATACTTACTGTACGACGGACCAGAAAGTTTTTTGCACAGCTCTGCTGGGTTTTAGTTTCTTAGTGAAATACAAGTGATAAATTTCAGTCCCTTTCACTCTCACCAACAGTAATTCTCGTTTCAGCATTAAAGCATTTGCTGTACCTGAAGGATTTTCTTCAGCCTCTGCTGGCCAAGACAGCAAGAGTGAAGACAGAGAACAAGCGTACCATGCCCCTGAAATCATTCCACTTTATGGGGTCTCGACAAAAATGATCCCACTGTTTCAGGAATCTGGACATAGGTAAGCACTCGAGAAGTACAGCACAATCATTTTTATGTGAAGAGAGAGACTAACAAAACTACGCTGCTAGTGTTTTGATAGCCCTCGTGGGGAGGGCCCTGCAGTGCTGTCGGGAAAAGGTGATGGGAATCACGAATATATCCATTGCTGCATAAAGGGAAGGAGGAAGGGAGGCTGCGACAACTGCATTCTGCAAGTACACACATCGCGCCTCTCACAGTAAGGAGGTGATAGCTCAGGTGTCAAAATGGATACATTTTATTTGGATTCTGCCCACCCACAGCATGGTTTACTTAAAAGGTGATTTACTTAAAAGGTAATTTAAAGAACTCATTGTCTCCTTGTGCCCTAATCTTACCTGTTTTGATGGAGCTGAGACAGCACCTGGGGGCTGCCTTTCTTCAGCTGGGCCCTTTGGTACAAGCTCTCCACATCCCCCTGAAGTTAGGGGTGCCATTAGGGTCATTCTTCCAAGCTAGGCTCCCAGAACCAAGGGATTTACAGTCTCTAATTACTGCTGTGAGCCTTTTATCTAGCATACTTCTATCTAGCAGCTGAGGGGTAACAAGATACCACTCTTAGGAGATGTATTTCAGTATGGAGCCGTTGCTACCAAACAGTCAGTGTAGTTGTTGTCTTCTGTCTTAGTGACAGACCCCAACACCTAACTACTTAAAGCAACATTAAAAAATTTTCTTTCTCTCTAGGAAAGGCAGCATCCTCTCAAGCAATGAGGTGAGAAACATCATCATTAACTATGTGAAGGCAAACGAGTTGGTTGATGAAACAAACAAAAAGTAAGTAGACATGGAAGTTGGCTTATCCTGCTTCCAGCAGAGGTGCTGAAGTTAGAGGGAAAAAGTTTGCTTCTCACATGTGTTTTTGTTTCGTAGCTTTGTAAAGGTGAATGCCATTCTGTGCGACTGCCTGCTAGATAAATCGGAACAAGATGAGATCTCCAACCTTAAATGGGATGACCTCTTGAGCAGGTGCCTGTTTTCCCAGTGTAGTGTTTCAGCATTGCACGGATTCATTGCATGTTAGTGGAGCTGCCTAAGTTGTAACTTCTTACTGGTAACACAACAAAAAATATCCAGAGACCTTCACATGAAGGATCTCTCATTCTTCACCATTTAACAAGCATCTAACATTAACTGTTGTGGTTGTTTTTTTTTTGTTTACCTGCTAACCACTTATCAGGGAAAGCTTCCTAAAGGAGCAGTGCCTGGTTCTGTGTATAATCTGTGTGTACACGTTTATAAACCCAACCTCTGCAATAGGGAGCTGAAGGGGCTTTTTCTAGGCAACGGTACTCATTCTGCTCTTAGATCCAAGACGCCTGACTCTCTGACACGACCATTGCTTCCATATACTTAAAAATTTTGCCTAAATATCCCAATATCTTACTTGCCTTGAGCTTCATCACACACTGCTTCTGTAGCGCCTCCAGCAGTTTCCTTTCTTTCTGAAGCCAGTTTTGCTCGTAGGACAGTGACACAGTTTATGCTGCATTTTAAGCCGGAGCTGCTTCACTGCTCTGTGAACAACACAACTGAACAGTAGCTTAAAGGCAAAATTGAAGAAGGTTTTCGTCTACAAGAACCGTTTTATAAAATGTTATGAATAACAATCTAAGCTGTAATTCTTTCGAGTCAGCAGACTAGTTTTCAGTCAGTCCATTTCTTTACTTAACAGCTGGGATGCAAATCTTTGCATGAGACCATTCTTGCGTAGAATCTTACCTTTCACATAGTCTCAAAAACATGCCAGAGGGTTCAGTGGAAAGGCACAGTTAAGCCCAGCTTTGCTGTACGATACAGCCTAACTGGATGTAAACCCTTTGTTCAGGTGCCTCCAACGACTGCAGCCCTTACACCAGGTGACGTTTTTTGGCCAAGAACCTATTGTGAGGAAAGGCAACGTCGAGCCTATCGACATAACCGTAGCACAGAGATCGTCAAATAAGAAGGTAAAAGGAGGACTAAAATTAGCGGGTTTGAGCAGAAGCCCAGATTTTGAGAGCAGCTTTAGCAGCTCATTTTTCTGGGATGAACGAGACATGACTTGCTAATACCCACAACAGTGGTGTTTGCAATAATTATTAAAACCTGTAGGTGACAATTATCAAGAACCTTGAGCTGTATGGTCTAGACCCACAGTGCATAGCCAACACTCTGCAACAGAAAGTACAAGCCAGTGCCACCATCACCCCAGTACCAGGAGCAAAAGACAGAGTTCAGGTCCAGATCCAAGGCAACCAAATCCATCATCTGGCCAAGATGCTGCTAGGTAAGTCAGTTCTGGAACTGGGCTGGGACTGGTTACAGCAAGGTACAGATTTTAATTCTGGAGTTGTGAATACGTACCTGAAATGAACTCTTCATGATGTTGCAGAAGAATACCAGCTACCTCGGAAGTATATTCAAGGCCTGGAGAAGGCTCCGAAGCTTGGCCGGAAGAAGTAAGAGAAAAATCTACTGTAAGAAGTACTCAGATCTCATTATTTATACAAGTGTTCTGCCAACAAGTCAAGGATAATGTCCGGGCTCTCGTCATTCAGAAATGAGTCCCAGATGTTTACAAGGCTTAGGATTCATCCAAATAATAATATTACTCCAGCCGTTCATTTTTCATAAAAATAAAGAGCTGAATAAAAAAAAAATCCCAAACGTTATTGTTTTCCATGTGTATTTTTATAAGTTCCTAACGGTGCCCTGGTTTTCCAACTACAGTGGCTTTTGGCTACTTCAGCATTCTTGCTGTGCATCTTTTAGCAAAGGCCTGGCACTAAGAGCCCCGACTGAAATGTAAGCAAAGTACAATCCAGCACAGTGTCCTCAATAGGGTAGGTCAGAAATAAAACCCATTTGGGTTTAGCTTTTATCCTTCTGAACATTTCCAGGTATTATCAGACATTTCAGCACTGAGAATGAACTCTGTTAGCTGGATTTTTATGGTTTCTATTATTTTTAATAAATACAAGTATATTTGAATCTTATGACATTAGCTGTAATATATCATGGGTAGGAGTTCTGTCAAATCCAGGTAAAATATTAAGAGAAGATTAATGGAACAGTTTGGTCAGGTTTCACAGGGGTGGATGTTCTCCACCTCTTTAGCTGAAGCTTAAACACTGTAGAGCAGGGCTAAAAAAGTTAAATTTCACGTGTAGGAAGGATTCCTGCATTTTCCCTTTAAACGTAATACACCAAAGTTCCATAGGAGGGCGCCAGAAAAAGAAGCTGAAGAGAATTTTTTTCAATTACTGACAGTTTTATTATTTTTTTTACACTGTCTGCATATGAACAGATACTTTCGGAACCTTCAAAAAAGCTGGAAAGTGAGACATTTTTTAAAAATGCCATAGAATTACTAAGGAGTATTAAAAATAAATTACAGCATTGCAAAAATGCATTTCACTTTACCATAGAAGCTTTGCTATTCCATTCTATACACATTATTTTACATGTTTTACAATAGACATGAAAAATAAATTCACACGAACTAGGCAAGACAAGATACTAACCAAAGGCACTGCCAACAGTATTTTGCGCTTACGGAAGGGGCCAATACTTCTATAAAAGAGATGCAGCTCAACTGAGCTTTGAGACTTTTGAGTTTTAGGAGCTACCAGTTCCTCAAATGGCCCATATCTTCGACAAACCAAAAGAAAGAGCCCTCCCCTGCAGGAGGTTTTCAGCAGCATTCACGGTAATTGCATAAGAAGCCATGCCTTCTACCAAATGTCAAAGACATGCTGGGTTCCAGGAAGGGAGAGGGAGACGGTCACCAAAAGCTGAGTAGAAAACAACAACAGCAGAAAAGAGATCTTTACACCTTTTAGCCAGAAAGGGATTTAAAAACAAGCGTCTGGATGTTATTTCTCAGAACCGATGGCAGTTTTTACACTGTTCTTCCTCTTGACTGAACAGAAGTATTTATGCAGCGCTTCCAAGACTGAAAGCGCGAGATAAACGTTACTTAAATTACCTCACGAGCGCATAGTGAAGACATGACTATTCTCGTAAATGGGCAAACGGCCCCAGAGCATGAAAACTGCTGCTCCAGTTGGGCTGCTGCCACGTGGTTAAAGGTCGCCTGGGTGTAGAGCACAGTACGGCTGCACCGCGGGCCGGCGGCCAGAGCCCTGTTAGCAAACCCTGGCACGCTACCGGCTACAACAGGAGCTGGAACCAAGCTTGGAGAAAGCAGCATTTACACAAACCGAGGGGCTTCCAGCAACGCGGTTACTCTCTTACAGTTTGTAGATAAACGTACTCAAGTATAAATCGGGGGAGGAAGAAAAAAATAAATCCCAAGCAGACACTTTCAAGAAAGAACCAAAACCGTTGCCCATCCCTCTGCGGACAACAGCAGCCTCACCCCAAGAGTCCGTAGGTAACTGAGGGGGCAGCCTCTTGACAAAAGCTCCTTCCAACTTCCTTAGCCCACATGCGAAGTTTTCACACTTATGGGGGAAAAAAGAAAAGGCACTGAGGTAAATTTTGGACTCTTCCCCGTTGCCTCTGTGGTAATACCCAATAACCTGGTGCCTCCCTTCCCACGTCACACAGGTGGCACCACAGCGGCCAACAGTGAGCTCACAGGGACACTTGTTCCATCAAGTCAGCCCAGAACCCTTTCACGTGCTCCGTCTGAACCCGGCTAGAATTAACATCTCGTTTTCTCCTCACGCCTTGTCGCAGTGTCCTGTGTAAACAGAGGGAAGACCGACCCTGGCTGTGCGCGGCGAGTTTGCTGCGGAGCACCGAGAGGAAACGTGAGGACTGTCCTCTCTGACTGGAGCCTTCCTGGCCCTTCAGTGACCGCTGCAAGGCGTCAGGAGGATGAGGGTCTCTGTTAGAGTTGCGGCAGTAACCGATGCTCCAGCACAAGGATTTTTAGGAAGGACACGCAGCACGTGCCTCGCAGGCGGTGGGAGCCCTGAGAGAGGAGGGAAGAGAGACGTGCTGGCCTCTCCTAGCTCCACGTAGAGAGCTAAACCTGGTAACCTTCCTGGCCGTGCAGGCAGAGCACCGATTGCGAGTGGGGAGGGAGGGAAGGAAAACGTGACAGAGCGGCTCAGGGAGCAAGAGGATGGTGCGTCGGGGACAGGAGCGGTGGGAAGCCCAGTGAGAGAGAGGTGGGCAGAAAGCATCCCAGGCTCATGGCCCCCTTACTCCTTCCTGGTGCTAAGGCTTTCCCACACAGGCAGCCTGTGCTCTTGGTGCCGCCTCCACGGCCTGGCCTGGGTTGGAGCTCCTCGCCCTTGGTGCCAGACCTGTCCATAGCTCAAAATCACTTTATGAAAGGGGTTGGAAGTTTTCCTGGGTTAGGCTGTTGGATATGCATCACTCAATATCAAGCCATGAGCCTGTGCCCCAACCATCACCTTTTCAAACAGAATTTCTTCAAACACAGGTCCCAATTCCCACAGAGTAGAAAACACAGAACACTGGCTAACTTAGCTATCAGGGGTATTTGCTTCAATGCACATCTGTTTTCAAAACTGCAAGTTAAATAGAGTCAAAGCGGATGACTTCTCCTGGAATGAATATTACCGTTTCAGTAAGACATACTAACAGACTGTTTGGGTGTTAGAGCTGCCTCGGCGTTACAACTCGACATTTCCCCAGCTATCTTAGCCCTGAACGAGTCCAGCCGGCAATGGTTACAGCTGCAACACCCACAAGGTTTGGTGCAACCACCTCCTCTGCTTTCATCTGCTGCTTCCTGCGCTCTACTTACGAAACAAGGGCCACGCGGGCGCACGCAACGAGCCGCAGCACCTCCGAACAAGAACAGGCAAGTTGCTGGGAGGAGCACGAACAGCGAGAGTTACCCTGCTCGAAACATCAGCCAGTAGATGTTCCTGTTGGGTTCAGCAATGAGCAAACCAGCTGCTGCGTTTGGTTTGTTGACGGGCACGGTTTTTAAACAGGCTTCCCGTTCTTCGGCTGGCTCTGGTCCTGGGATAAAAGGTTCCAGAAGAAGGAAATGAAGTATCTTATGAGTGCTGTGAGCCAGTCCTTTCTGGAAGGATGGAGAGGGAGGGACTACTACAAGGTGTCCTGAGAAGTGTCTTTTCATTTTAAAAATAATATCTAGCTTAGTCTGATGGGCCTCCTGAAGGGTTATCCAGGCTTGCCTCTGGCTTCTTTCAAGGTCTGTTGGAGTCTCTGTTTAAACTTCTCGTACTTCCTTTGCACTTGCTGGATTTTTTCCTTTTCTTCTTTGTCCAGTATCATCAAGAAGTTCTGTAGCTCTGGGATGGAGAATGCATCCCACTGCAAAACCAGCAGAAACAGAGGAAGTAAGCACACACCATTCACCCGATTACTTTTGTGTTTGGCTTTTGGGTTTTTTTCCCCCTGAATCTGTCAAGAGGAGCAAGAAAAGACATTTAAAAATACATCTTATCTCCAGGTAGCTTAATCTCACAGCATCATGTTGTGAGAGAGATGGGGTAATGGGCTACAGCATCCCAGTCATGAGCCCCCGAGACTGTAGATTTAATAGAAATCATCTTTATTACAGTATCACGGTATGCTAGGGATTGGAAGGGACCTCAAAAGATCATCTAGTCCAATCCCTCTGCCAGAGCAGGAACACCTAGATGATGTTACACAGGACATTCAGGTGAATTAAGTTCCCACTGCAAGGGCTGAAGCAGTTCCCTAAAGAACTGAAGTAATGTATGGGAGCATTCACCTGCACTTTTCTTATGAACGGGGAGCAAGGTCCCAGCAGGAGCCAGTTCTCTTTCTTTTACTGCAAAGCTACTAAAACCATTGGAGCTTCAGTAAAACTCTTGGCATGAGGTGCCAGCAGCCAGGCTGCTCCGGGTGTCCCCTGCAAGAATCAGGCAAGGCCACAACCCGATGATTGCCACCACTTAATAAACACTGCTTTATGTCTG